AGCGAGCGGCACAGCGGCCCGTGACGACAGAACTGCTCCAAGTGCGGGCTATGCAATTAGTCTTGGAAAAAGGTCTAATGCAGAGCCAGTTTAAAGCGAGCAGGTGCTGGCTAACTAACTTTATTTAGAGGAAAGGCTTTTCCCTCCGAAGGGGAACATGCATATGCGAAAAGTTTTGCGGAGGAGTACGATGAAAAGCTTCACAGTTTTCAGAGGTTCGTCCTAAACTTGCGGCGCAACAACGGCTACCTGCTTGGGCAAATCGGGAATGCCATCAGACGCCTCTTTACTTCGACATGCCTGGCAGCACAACCGTCGAGAAGAAGGGGGCTAAGCAAGTTCGCGTGCTGACATCGGTCCACGGTAAAACTACCGTGACGGAAAGCTCTGTTACACGTCAGATGGGCACAAGCTTCGCCCGTACTTCATATTTAAATAGAATACGCTCCCGAAAGGAGTAGTTTTTTCGAGTGGTGTGATCGTGCAGGCCGGCGAGAAAAATGGGTGCGCGTTGCAATTGATGTCTTAAGTTTTTTTTTTTTTTTTCGGTGGAAATCGGGTGCGCGTTACAATCGAGGGCGCGGTAGAATCGAGTAAATACGGTACAGGCCGATCAGCTTACTCTTCGTTCTGTACAAACTATTTACAAAAACAATAGCTAATAGAATTAAGGTGACATTAGAGATCAATCAACCAAAGGACCAAGCAGGATTTCGTACAGGCTACTCCACAATCGACCATATTCATACTATAAATCAGGTAATAGAAAAATTCACGGAATACAACCAACCCCTATACATAGCCTTCATAGATTACTAGAAGACATTTGACTCAGTTGAGACATCAGCATTAATGCAGGCACTGCGAAATCGGGGCATAGAAGAACCTTACATAAACATACTGGAAGAAATCTACAGTGGATCCACAGCCACAATAGTTCTTCCTAAGGAAAGCGACAGAATCCTAATAAAGAAGGGTTGATTGATTGATATGTGGGGTTTAACGTCCCAAAACCACCATGTGATTATGAGAGACACCATTGTGGAGGGCTCCGGAAGCTTTGACCACCTGGGGTTTTTTAATGTGCGCCCAAGTCTGAGCACACGGGCCTAGAGCATTTCCGCCTCCATCGAAAATGCAGCCATCACAGCCGGGATTTGATCCCACGACTTGCTGGTTAGCAGCCGAGTATCTTAGCTACTAGACCACTGCGGTGGGGCAATAAAGAAGGGTGTAAGGCAGGGAGACGCGATCTCTCCATTCTTATTCATCGCGTGTTTAAAGGAGGTTTTCAGGGCCCTAGATTGGGAAGAGTTAGGGATAAGAGTTAATGGAGAGTATTTATTTATTTATTTATTTCAGGTACCCTCATGGCACAGAGGGCATTGCTGAGGGGAGTGGTACAGGATCAGGATGTTGAAAGGTGTTCGAATTGTACAAACATTGCACACATATGAGCAAATATACAAAAGCACTGAACAAACAAGTATCCAGCGGTGCGTAGAAGTATGCAAAAGTTTAACACAAATCTACACAGGTATTGCCTCTAGCATAAAAAGATAACAAAACTAACGTTGACAACTGCATGCACATGGCACATTATAAAGTAAATAAACACTGTGGAAAAAAAAAAGTTCAAGCTACACAGAACTGAAGTAATCAGACACTTTCTTCCTAAACTGGTCAATATTGTTAGTAAGCACTAGGGATGGTGGCAGGCGATTCCACTCTGATGTAGTTCTAGGAATAAACGAATTTGAATATGCTACAGTGCGACATTTCGGGATACCAACTTTGCAAGAATGATCTATGCGCAATGAAACATGAGCAGGGGGTAAGATAAGAGCAGTTTTAAGGGTGGCGTTCAATTTATAGATTTTAAAGAAAAGGCACATGCGCGATATCTTCCTGCGCAGTGTGAGTGGTTCAAGAGATAGAGTTGCTTTCATTTGCGTTACGCTTGATAAACGGCCGTAATCGTGAAGGATGAAACGCATGCTCTGTTTTGGGTTGCTTCAAGTGCATTTATTAGTGAATTATTGCATGGGTCATATACTGAAGACGCGTATTCGAGTTTAGATCGAACAAGTGACTTGTACAATAACAGTTTAACAGAAGCGGGGGCTAGAGAAAAATGTCGCCGAATAAAACCAAGCGTCCGGTTAGCATTTAAGATAATAGAGGAGACATGCATATTCCAACTCAGGTCTGCTGTTAAAATAACCCCGAGGTATTTATAGGACGACACTGGTAGCAATGGGGAGCTGCTTATACTGTAAGAGGAAGGGTTTAATTTACGTTGGCGTGAGAACCGCATTACTTTACATTTATTAATATTAAGTGTCATATGCGAAGTCGAGCACCAATTATCGATAGCGTCAAGGTCCTGTTGAAGCAAAGAAATGTCAGTAGCATTTTTTATTTCACGGTAAATAACACAGTCATCGTCAAAAAGTTTCACAGAAGAAGTCAGATTGCTAGGCATATCATTAATATATATAAGAAAAAGCAGTGGACATAAAACTGAGCCTTGTGGGACGCCTGAAGTGACAGGTAGAGTTGAAGAGTTAAAACCATTAACATGAACAAATTGAGAGTGATCTGTTAGAAAACATTTAATCCACTTAAGAGCGTTAGGGTCGATATTCAGTTGGCTTAGTTTGTGAAGAAGCAGGCTGTGGGGAACTTTATCGAATGCCTTACAAAAGTCTATGAATATGCAATCAGCCGCGGAACCATTATCAAGTACAGAAGGTTGTGAAGGCTACCAACTGCGTTTCACACGAAGATAATTTCCTAAAGCCATGTTGCTCAGGTGAAAAAAATGAGAATGATTCAAGAAATTTTGCCAAGTGGGAAGCGATGACGTGTTCAAATATTTTACAGGAAATACTCGTTAACGAAATGGGGCGATAGTTCGAAGCAGAATGTTTGTCGCCAGATTTATGGAGTGGAATCACTTTACCTATTTTCCAGTCATCTGGAATCTCCCCTGACTGAAGAGACTGATTAAATATTTTGGACAATATTATAGCAGAATAAACCGAGGTGTTTTTGAGCACTTTTGTATTAATGTCATCGGGACCACAACTAGAAGATAATTTTAGGCTCTGAATAATGCGTACAATGCCATCAAAAAATCAAAATGAACAGGGTCCATGGGGAAATCATAATGAGTGTGACAGGCAGGGAGTGACGAGTTAGTACAACTGGAAAATGCTTTTGCAAACGTGTCATTCAGAGCGGCGGCGCAATCAGTGTTGCTAATTCGGTTTGACTGCAAATCAACAAGAGAAATTGTCGAATCATCTGTATCCTTAATCAGACTCCAGAATTTTTTAGGGTTTGCGGAAAGAAGTTCAGGTAATGTAATACTCATAAACTTATGTTTTGCTTGCTTTAAAGCTTTCTTATATGTACATACGACATCCTTAAGTGCTGACCAGTGCTCCGATTTTCGAGACCGCTTTGCTCTGATGAAGAAAAGTATGTTGGTAACCTGCAATTTGCTGATGACATTGCCTTGATGAGAAACTCTGAAGACGAATTATAGCTCATGATTACCGAACTGGGCACTGAAAGCTGAAGTGTAAGTCTGAAAATTAATATGCAGAAAATAAAGTAATGTGCAACAGTCTCGGCAGAAAACAGTGCTTTGTGATAGGTGGAGAGACACTGAAAATTGTAAAGGTCTACTTAGGACAGGTAGTAACCGCAGAGCCGAACCATGAGAGTGAAATAACTAGAAGAATAAGGATGGAGTGGGCCACATTCGGCTAGCATTCTCAAATCATGAATGGTAATCTATCACTATCCCTCAAGAGGAAGGTACTACATATTAGCTGCATCTTGCCAGTACTTAACTATTGAGCAGAAACCTTGAGGCTTACTAAGAGGGTTCAGCTTAAATTGAGGGTGACACAGTGAGCGATGGAATGGAAAATGATAGGTGTAACCTTAAGAGACAAGAAGAGAGCAGAGAGGGTTAGGGAACGAACCGGGGTTAAGGATATCATAGTTGAAATCAAGATGAAATGGTCATGGGCAGCGCATGTAGCACGAAGGCAAAATAGTTGCTGGTCATTAAGGATCACAGACTGGATTCCAAGAGTAGGCAAGCAGGTGAAGGGGAGACAAAGTTAGGTGGGCTGATGAAATTAAAAAGTATAACGTGGCAGCAGAAAGCACAAGACCGAGTTGATTGGTAGATCACGGAGAGGCCTTTGCCCTGCAGTGGGTGCAGTCAGGCGGATTATATATATATATATATATATATATATATATATATATATATATATATATATATATATATATATATATATATATATATATATATATATATATTGAGAGAGAGAATGTGCATGCACGAACACGCACACTCTCAGTTGCACACGGCAATGCTGTTTGTTGTAGCTCTAAGTGACGTAGAGATGGTAAATTGTGAAATACTAGAATTAGCTTAGTTGTCAGCTGTCAGTTGCAGTTGGTGCACGTAAACAACAATGAGTGAGCTGTTGTCCAGTGACACCAACAGTGATTTTGGGCGCATGCAGTATGCAGAGTTCGCAAAGCCACAAACTGTATTGACTCATCATGGTAATGTCAGTGGCGATGTGGTTGGCTTGCGGATGCTTGGCGATGAAAGCTTTAAAATGGAGCTAAAATATTTTATACATGTTTTTTTAATAATCACAGTTTATAAGCAAAGCTTAGATGCCGGCGAACTCGTTTTTTTTGCTAGCCCAGCCTTCGGAGGGGGTGGGGTGAAACGGTTGCTTGCGCATGCGGCTGCTCCGTCGCGCACATAGTTCAAGCCGCTCGCTGGCATAGTAGATCAGTCAAGTGTCCATTTTGATTTTTTGAACAAATACTGTGTATGTCCAAAAGTAAACATTTCTGCATGCCATGAATAAGTTTTCAAAATTCTGGCATTAAAAGAAACACCTATGTTTACAGCTGTAATTTCAACATGTGTATAAGCTTGTTTGCTCTGTTTTTAGGGGCTTGGTACCTTTGCATAATGCTTGCTCTTATGGCCATTATGAAGTAGCTGATCTCTTGGTGAAGGTAAGCAAAGCCTACATTTTTTACCTTCTTTTAATGTGAACACTGCAAAAGTTTCTTTCTTCCTTGGCAGCATGGGGCCAGTGTGAATGTGTCTGATCTCTGGAAGTTCACACCTCTCCACGAAGCTACTGCGAAAGGAAAATATGACATTGTCAAGCTGTTGCTTAAGGTATGTATGTCATGTACAGTAAGTTTAATGCTAATTGTTTTGCTCCTTTTATTCTGCTTTAGCACGGAGCTGACCCAAGCAAGAAAAACCGAGATGGTAACACACCCCTTGATTTAGTCAAAGATGGTGACCAAGATGTTGCAGATCTTCTCAAAGGTAAGATTTTCACAGTGGCTTCACATTTTAGAAGTGTGCTACTACGAAGATGTGATGCCAACCAGAAAGGTTGGCACAGTTGCACCAATTGTGCCAAAGGGCAGCATTTACTATACTTCTGCACCATGTACCAGTACCAACCCCCTCCCTCGAGATTCGAGACAAAGCTGGTGATGAAGCTCGGGGAAGTGCTGAGGTTTGAGTAAAATGAAATGAGACGCAGAATACTCAACACAAAGCACCGAAGTCAAAACTCTAAAACTTTATAAATGCATATACAGTCGAGCTCACATATAAAGGCCCCACTTTTTTTTTTTTCATTTCATTTCATTTATTTGGGCATTTTCACAAAATCCCCATGAAAAGGGCAAAAGGAGAGAGTGTCTCCTGTCTTATCCCACTCTTTGTGAAGCATTTAGGGCAGGTGCAGCAAAACAACACATAGAAATGTTCAATAACATACGTATTGGTACGTAGTTGACATATCAGGGGTCAGAAGACGACAACGAGAAAGTGGTCTGTCGGTTGTGCGTGCCGTCCTCGATCTTAGTCGATGCTATACGCATCAGTTTCAATATAAATTCTAAATACAGTTGAGCCTGACTATATCGAACCCGTTTATATCAAATTATCCCGTATATCAAACAATTCTTAAACACGGTAAGTTTACATTGAGAATATGTAGCAAAAGTTACTGTTTTATCGAACGAAAATAGCAACGACAACTGATATATGAAACTCCATGTGCCTCAAAAGTGCCCCAGCAAGTTGGCTTTCCCTCGTGGTGGCGGGGAAAACTGCCGGCGCCACCCTAGATAAAGGTTAGACCCGGTTGTGCAAATGATCCTGGCCTGCTCGCAGCGGTTACAGCCAATCAGAGGCCGTCGTGCTTTCTTTGAGGCGCGGAGGCGGTAGAAGTGAGCGTCATTTTTTCTTTCTTTATGCTTGTGTGCGTGCTGCTGCCAATTCAGCATGGTCTGTGGTGTTGCCTGTTGGTGCTCTGTGAACTGTATTGGCGCGCTGTCATCATGGCTCGCGCAAAGAGGCAAAATTTGCCGTTCGCCGTGACACTCGAAATCATCAATCTGGTTGAGCGCGGTGAAAAGAAGTCCGACGTGGCTGCCGCGTACAAAATTCCAAGGAGCACCTTGAGTACTATCCTGAAGAAAAAGCAGACATCAGGGCCAAGTCGCACAAAGGCCAGGTGCCCGTGGCGCCTGACGTGTGCGCGCTGCTGTGTACGAAGCTGTTGAAGCGGGCGTTTACGAGTGGTTTGTGGACGTTCGGTCGTGAAACATCCCGGTGTCCGGCCCTATGATCGAGCAGAAAGCCAAAGACGTTGCTTTTCTGCTTGGCAGGAATGATTTCCAAGGCGGTTCAAGCTGGCTTCAGCGGTTCAAAGAACGGCACGACATCGTTGGCAAAGCTGTTACAGGTGAAATCAGAGTGGCAAACCTGGACAGCGTAGAAAAATGGCTCGAGGAAAACTGGCAAGATATCGCAGCATGATATAGAGCCCAAGATATCTTCAATGTGGATGAAACCGCTCTATTTTGGCAAATGTTGCCAAACAAGACACTTGCGTGTCGCGGCGACAAGACAAGCGGCGGCAAGGCAGACAAAGCTCGTGTGTCCGTGCTGTTGGCAGCTAATTTAGACGGATCGAAAAAGCTTCGACCTCTGGTTATCGGGAAAAGCAAGGCACCGCGGTGTTTTCGAAATGCGCTGTCGCTTCCAGTTACCTACCGAGCAAACTCAAAAGCGTGGATGACTGGGGAACTTTTCAGCAGATGGCTATCGTCGTGGAATGATGATTTGGTAGGTGAAAATCGCAAGGTGGGTGTGCCTGCTCGTAGACAATTGTTCATCGCACCACTGCAGTACGACCTTCAGCAACATCGAGCTGCGTTTTTTGCCCCCGAACACTACGTCTGTACTGCAACCACTGGATCAAGTTGTTATACGCATAATGAAAGCCGTCTGTCGGAAGCGCCTGGTGGAGAGGCTGCTGCAGAACCTTCATGCCGGCAGGGAGATTAAGATCGACTTGCTCGGAGCTATTTCTATGTTGAGTAGATCGTGGGCAGATGTCAAGAAGGAGACGATCCAGAACTGCTTTAGGCATGCTGGCTTCCGCATGCCTGGTGATGACACCCCAAATTCTGACAGCACTGAAGACACCGCAGGTGTTTCCGCCGAAGTTTGGAAAGAGCTGGCAGAGTTCCCGGGTGCTATTTGACGGATCGACATTTGAAGAGTTCGTCAGTGCGGACGATGATGTCCCCATCATGGGCCAATCACAGGATGAGTATTACGTTGCAGACGTCGTGCCGACCACGAGCCAAAGCGACAGCAATATGGAAATCGACGGCGGCCTTTTGCCTACATCCTCCGAAGTGATAAGTGCACTTGCGTTGGTCCGGCGCTATTGCTTGAATGTGGAAGGTTGTGGCCTCAGCTGCTCCGACTCATAGGTCCAACCATGTCACAGGTTGAACAACCATCGTCTTCACTACCTGTCCCTTCCGTGACTTCTACGTACGTCGTTCTACTTCCTGCTCGTGATCCCGTTGTATTTTTCGGTCAGGATGGCATTGACGAGACAAATGGATCAACTGGTACGAACGGGTCAGCGCAAGCTATAGATGGGACCCGACTCTTATGCTTGCCAATGTGCTTTTTTACCTCAATGGCCCACCGCTGGTGTGGTTCGAGACGCATGGAGCGGAGATTACAAGCTGGGACTCCTTTAAAGAGAAGATCCGCGACCTTTTTGGCGACACCGTTGGGGGGCAGACCGCAGCGCAGAATCAATTGGCGGCTCGTGCATAGACATCGACGGAGTCGTACGTTGCGTACATTCACGACGTCATTGCCCTATGCCGCCAGATTGACGAGCACATGAGCGAGTCTGAGAAAGTGGCCCATGTGCTGAAAGGCATAGCAGACGATGCCTTTAATTTTCTAGTATACAACAACGTTGCCACCGTTCATGCCATCATTAAAGAGTGATGGCAGTTCGAAGAAGCCAAGAGCCACTGTTTTACTCAGCGATTTATCCGGCTGCCTAACACAGCCGCAACCTCATCGTGTGAAGCTGCCCGCCAGTCCCCCACGTATGACAACGTCACGCGCATTGTTCGTCGGGAAATCGAAGCCGCTTGTTCGGCGCCTCTTCAGCCACCCATTTTCGCAACGCTCGCCTCTGACCAACAACAGCCGTCAGTGGCGTTAATACAAGCTGTGGTGAGGCACGAGTTTGCAAACCTCGGCCTTTCATCAGCATGTCCCTTGACTCGCCCTGAAGTCCCGTCTTACTCCCCTGGACACGCTCATCATTCATCTCCAATAATGCCCTTCTGTAACCCTTCGGAATGGTGAACACCCAACGACCGGCCTATTTGTTTTTCCTGCCACCAGCCTAGGCACGTTTCTCGCTATTGCCCCTGCCGTTGGTCAAACCTACTAGGTCATACCTTCTCTACCTCGGCGCACTTGCACTCGACAATCCCTCAACATTCAGTCGCAGCACCCTTCAATTTCTATTCGTCGTCATCTTACGAGCCTTCCACTGACGCCCCTTTGCCCGGTCGCCGCAGCTCCCGCTCCCCGTCGCCGCTACCTCGGCGCTTTTCCTCGCCGAGCTTCTCTGGGCGACTGCAGCAGGAAAACTAGATATTGCAGTTTATAGTGGTGAAGCTGCAATACCAATGACGGCCGAAAATCCTCTACTGACGCTTCCCACACACCACAGCCTACTTGAAGTACAAGTCAACCATGTTCCTGTGACTGCCCTCATTGACACAAGTGCGCACCTGTCTATTATGAGCGCTTCTCTACGCCGCCGCTTGCAAAAGATTATGACGCCGTCTACGACGCAGGCAATACGTGTTGCCGATGGCGATACTGTACCAGTAATCGGAATGTGCACTGCTCGTGCCAGCATTGCCGGTCGTCACGCCATGTTTCTTTTTGCCGTGCTAGCCCTCATGACCTCATACTTGGCCTTGATTTCCTTTCGATCGGCACACTCGGCCTTCATTGACTGTTCTTCTGGTACCCTCAGCCTCGATCTTCCCATCTTTGCCAACTACTCTGCAAAGCTCACCAGCCGCTTAAGCCCAACTACTTTCGTTTGCCTGCCACCTCGAGCCGTCACGTACGTGTCTTTGTCCTCGACCCCTCCCGTTCCTGACGGTGGTTATATCGTTACGCTAATTACTGACGTACGATTGACGCGCAGTGTTACTATGCCCCATAACATCGCGACCATAGCGGATAACTGTGTGTTCCTTTCGCTCCTTAACTTTGGTTTCACCCCTCAAGTGTTGCCCTGCCAGATGTCTCTAGCCCAGCTAACTGCCATAGCAGAGGACGATTTAAAGTGTTGTCGCTGTATCTGCTCCTGATCGAAGCGCAGCCTCACGGTCGCCCAGCTCAGACAATGCTATTTTTTGAAATATGATTGGATCGGAGCTTTTGCGTCACCAGGCCGACGCTCTCTGCCAGGTTTTGGCCTCATACAGTGACATTTTTGACACCGACGATCGTCCCTTGGGCCAGACAAAAATTGTCACTCACCGAATCAACACTGGTGACTGCGCCCATTCACTGTTGGACGTACCGCATGTCAGTGTTCGAGCGAGAAGTGATTCAGAAAGAAGTGGCCAAAATGCTTACGAAAAACGTAATCGAACCATCATCGCGCCTTTGGGCATTTCCCGTGGTATTAGTAAAAAAGAAAGACTGCTCATGGCGTTTCTGGATTGACTTTCGCCACCTCAACAAAATTACCAAAAAAGACTTGTACCCTCTACCACGCATTGACGATGCCCTCGATTGCCTCCATGGCGCCACCTTCTTTTCATCTCTCGACCTCCGATCTGGCTACTAGCAAATTGCTGTAGATGACATCGACAGAGCAAAGACCGCCTTCGTTACCCCTGACGGTCTTTACCAATTTGAGGTCATGCCCTTTGGTCTCTGCAATGCGCTAGCGA